GCTTTTTTGTATTGAAAATTTGACAATTTAATATTGCACTCGTTGACATACTTCAAAAGTCGGGGCTTAACTCGAGCAACAACTTTTTTGTCAAACTTCGAGTTAAGCCCTGGGGCTTAACTCGAATGACCCAAGTCGTGTTTCGTTATTCGAGTTAAGCCCTTTTGGAAAAAGGGCGTGGTCATGGCAAAACAGGGCGTGGCCGGGGCTTAACACGAAAAGGGCTTAACTCGAGGGGCTTAACTCGAAGGGCTTAACTCGAAGATTCCCGACCTCGACAATATGCACTAGAAAATCCCTCTTCATCATCTCCGTCAAGCTCGATTTGCATGTCTTTGTTTTGTGGAAGACAGTACGTTACAGCGAAATAACCCATTTTCAATTTGAACAGGTTTCCAATTTTTTTCCATGAACTGTTTGCCTGTCATATCTTTTTTTACATTAACAAGTTTATACGTCTTAGACGCTGACGTTTCAACACTCCACATCTTGTTGTTTGGAAGGGCTGTCAAGAAAATCCAATATTTAATAAGTTTAATATGTGAGGATAAATTTATCCCGATTTTGCGCTATACGTCGCGTTTGTGTCAAATTGAATTCAAACGAATTTAATTCCTCTAATTTTATTCGGCGTAAATGCGTCGCATAACTCAAATGAAATCATAATGAAATTCATCTGACTCGCATTATCCGGTATATTGTAATTGCTGGAATGGACTTTTGAACTGGACTGGACTCGAGACTTAACCATTTTTTTAAAATTTTATAAAACCGCCGACGGACTGACATGGATTGAGTATGTTTCCCAATATGACTCGGCCGGGGACTGGGCACGAAAAAGCAAAATCTCACATCCGACGGACTGACATGGATTGAGTATGTTTCCCCAATATAACTCGGCCGGGGACTGGGCACGAAAAAGCAAGAAAGTCATGTAACGTCAAGAATAGGGAGCTGCCTCGCTACGCTCGGCAGCAATAACGAATTTTAAGCTTTGCTCTTACAAAACGTTAATCATACATGCTTTACTACAATTATTAAAATTAAAATATCTCCCCCCCCCCCCACATCATTATTCCCCACATCCCCAGGAAAATTTTACGAGTGTTTTATAAAATTAAAAAAAATGGTAAAGTCTCGAGTCCAGTCCACTAGCAATTACAATATACCCGCATTATTCGTCCAACGCAGACGGATAATACGACAAAAATGCAAATTAAATGCGTCTTTGTTTAATGTAAAACGACGCATTTTAGATGAACTTAATTATTGACGAATTTAATTCAACATAATATTAATTTTTTTTTATGTTGTGCAATTATATGCGACGTATAATTTGACTTTCAGTCGAATACAATTGTAATTAAACTCGTCTGAATTAAATTCGACACAATTGAACATTGCAACAAGTTTTCGAGCTTCGAGACGGAGTTTGCGGTAAAGCAGTCTAAACTACTTGACTGTAGCGAAAAACTTCTCGAATGCGAAACCACGTTTTTCAGGAACCCAAGCTCAACATCGACACTTCACTCGAAATTTCCATATATAGCGATATACGTAAAATGCAGGTCATACTTGTATTTAAGATGTTTAGGTATTAAATTTTACAATGCATAATTTCCCATGCTTTCAGAAAGACTAGAAAGTCTCTCATGACTGAGCTAATTAAATCTTTGCCGGTGAATACGTGCGAAATTAATCATGTGGCGACAACTTGGCCACCAATGGCAAATTTTGCGAGCACTGCCACTGATATTCGCTTTCGCGAGGTCTATATAATCATTTATGTTTAGACAATTGCAAATTCAACTACTACTTACGTTTCTCATTTTCTGCCATGTTGTCTTCCAATAAATCTTTAGTTTTATTTTGAACCAATTCCAGCTGCGGTGAGTTTCGCACCTCAATACGCTTTGTTGTGTTTCCCGATGGTTCGTCTTGATCACGAGAGCGCTTGAATGCCTGGTGTCTGCGCTGAACGAAGTATCTGTTGCTGAATCGCTGGAATAACGAGCGCTATTTTGGTTTTTCTTATTTCTCTGTCCCCTGGAATACGATCTATGTCTATTTTTATAGCGGCGTTTCATCTGTGATTCACCACGAGTTCTAGAATGGGTTTTACTTCTAGAGCGTCGGTTTTTACTTCGAGAACGCCTGTTCAGTTTACTTCGAGAGCGTCTGGTGTCACGAGAACGAAATCTCTTTGAGTTGTGTGAGCGCTGTCTTTTTTTCTTCCTTGTTGCCTCCCGACCATCATTTGATGAATCCGTTGACTCGCTGCTATATTTTCTATTATGTCTGCTACGGGTTTTGCTCCTTGGCCGGTGAGATTTGCTGTTCGACGCATAGCTGTACAAATCATTTGGAGTTTTACTGGGCTTGGGACGCCTTGATTTTTCTTTTGAAGATTCTCTGTCGCCGTACTTAGCCGAATACGTGGATTCACTGCTACTTGTCCGACTAGATTTCGTTCTTTTTCGTATTTTACACGAGTTTTTTTCATGATGAAGTTCTTCTGATGAAGAGCTATGCATTTTCTCTTCGCGTGAACTCATTTTACGCTTTTGGCGTGCCCCTGTTGGTGTTTGAATAGCTCACATTGCATATAATTTGTAATACGGATATGGCAGTACTGTCTACAGAAGCATGCACCAGCAAGCGCGATTTTGAATAGATTCTAAATCCTTCACAAGCCAACAATAGTTTCGATATAAAACGCTGTGGGCGGTTGTTGTCAATCATCAGTTTTGATAGCCGCAAAAAGGAAGGCTTATATTTCAGAATCAACTGCGTCCCATTGTTGAGGAAAATAGCAACAATTAAATATTTGACGTACTATTCATCACGGTCATCGACTTTTAGTGTCATTCATTGTTAATATGAGAGATATTATTTATTAGGTTAGCGTTTCCACGGCAAATATTTTAGCGTTTAAATGGCTTTTAAAGTTTGGAACACCGCAAACCAATTATAATTATACCATGACTCATATTGAAACAGTCAAGTACTCGTGTTACAAACCAACCTGGCTTTTATTTTGCTTCTGTCTATAAAGTGCCAATTTAACGATTTGCCTGCCGGAAAAATGGAAAAGATTTTTTATGGCTTTGAGTTTTACTTTGTTCCTAAGAAACAAATTCGTATTCAAGTACAAATTTTGAAAAAGAAGATAACTGAGCTTGGTGGTGTTTTTAGTGATATTCAACGCAATACAACAACACATGTTGTGTATGCAAGGGGAGCACGACGCGAAAACAAGACGTCTGAAACTGAACCAGAAGGTGTTCATCATATACGTGTAGATTGGCTTGCGGAATGTATAAAGAAAGGTCATTGGTTTCATACAATGGCTTTGAATTGGTGAGATTTGAATTGTGACACTTTTATTGCGATAGACGGCGTGATCTGTGTCATTAAAAAAGACATACACATATGGTAAATTTACAGTCGATCGTGCACTAGTTTAATATATAAGCGTTTGACACCAAGGAATTAAATTGAAAATTAGCATATTCCCGAGAATCTTGTTAATATTAATTGCAATACAATTATTACCAGTAATTAAGCATAAGACTCCTTGTTCAAGCCATTATACTCATCCTTGCATGACGTACTACAAATTATTTCTTATGTTGGTTACCACTGACCATAAAATTCTTGTGTAATAATTCGTATTTTGTTTTGTGGATTCGGTATGCTAAAATTTGGCAAAAATATGGCAATAAATTACAATTTTATTTGATGTGAATTTTTAGCTTTGCCCGCAAGTCCTCGAGGAAGTACCAACATATTCTGATCTTGAACCTACTTCTAAAAGACGAAAAACGAGCCTGGCAGGTACTAAGTTTTTTAAAAATTGTGCATGGATTTAATAAATAATACGGCAGACGCTTGCATGTCTTGCATGCGCAGCTTGCATTTCATTGAAATCAATCAAACTTCGCAAACGTTGAGCCTGCGAGTTGTGTAAAAATCATTGGTATTTTTTTAGTATTGATAGACTATATTTAAACCTTTGATGGCATTTATATAGAAATCGAGGTTACTTTGACTGGACTAACTAAGTTCAAAGATGCTGTTGAAGAAGTCAAACGAATCAGGACTGAGAGTAAAACTGTCGATATTCATTTGCAAAAGATTGATGTGGTAAAGTTTGATGGGAATTCTACAAAAGGTATCGGTGTGTTTTTCTAACTAGTGAGAGCAGTGCTAAACAATTTGGATGGATTCCAAAGGAACTGATTGGCAAGGTTGAAAGTATGTGTAAAGAAACTTTAAATGGTCTGAAAGGACTGGATATTAGTTTAATTTGTTTTAAAAAAACGGAGATTTCCAGTTCTTTCACAAAGATAAGTGCTGTTATCAAGATTATTACTCCTAACTAATAATTAATGTTGTGTAATATACATTACCATAAATTATGTCATATAATTGTGTCACAATGAAAATATAAGAGATAGTTTGACCCTTTTGCGTTTGCTACAACCTCCTCCGCAGGCCTTTCGATGCGGGCGGGAATAATTTGCGGGCGTGAAATTTGAGATCAGGGAAGAACGTAAGGCGACGAAAGGCCTGCTGAATAATAGTCGGTTCCTGGGCAGAAGTGACGTTTCCCGGGTATCGGTTTTCAATCTTTAAAAATCTTCGTGAAATATGAACCATCCTATCCCAAAACTATTGTCCCGTGTATGGTCGAGTATTTGTGATACTTCAGGGCAGTCATGGCCGAAAGCAGCGACGAACAGAGGGGAAAAATCGAGGATTTCGACGATGTTGACGTTCTTAATATGTCATTCAGTGAAATGGAAATAGGTATGTATTTTACCTGATTAAATATCATGTAGATCATTGACGCGTTTTATAATGTAACTCATAACAAGCAGTCGTAACACAATGATATCGATCTCTATGAACAGGACACGCTTGAATAATATGCGCTTTGATTTACTATTAATATTCATAACTTTTGAACGCATATAAAGCTGGAGAGTTTATAATTATATACAGCACATAGCGTTTTAATCTCATTGTAGACCATAAAGGATGTATCAAAAAAGGGGACCTTTAGAAATTAGCTTATTGTTATAATTTGAATGCCCGATAACTATGCTAAGCCTATGGATGCGTAAAATATTGTCCGCTATACGTGCATATACAGTATTACATATCTTTGTTATAAGCTCAAGCAGTACTGCTCCTGGGAATTCAAAATAACTTCTAACAGCAAAAACCGCACAAAACTGGTCAAATCACTAAATTTAATTAGTGATTTGACAATTATTGTGCAGTTTTTATCCATCCATAGGCTTAGCATAGTGATTGGGCATTCACATTACAACAATATAAGCTAATTTCTAAAGGTCTCCTTTTTTTATACACCCTGTAGTATGTTTTATAAACAAGACGCCTGCTCAATCGGTTTGTATATGCAGTACACAGCGCTTTAGGGTCATTGTATGTTTTAACAAGATGCCCACTCAGTCGTTGACTCAGGGTACAGGGCACTGCAGTCAAACATTTGCGCATATAAACAAAATATGTGAATCAACAATAACAGAATGAAGCACCTAGCTGGCAGTAATGAGGAATATTACAAACACAGTTGACAATTTTCCAACAATTTATTATGCTTTGCAAGATGTATTCAGGCTTATCTAGAGTCAATTCTAGCATTTCCCCCCCCCCTGGACACCCTGGGCATTTGGAAGCTTTTTTGCCCAGGGGCTGGTCATTTTTGCTTGCAAAGTTTCCACAGGGGCCAGAATTGTGTTCTCTAATTATAGGCTTTAATACTGGGATATGCATACCTGTATTTTCATTTTGTTGGTAATGTGAACTTATTTGTTGCATTCATATTTATATTTTTAATATTAAGGATTCCATAAGGCCTGTTCAGGTAATTTTGGTGATAAGCCATTTATTTATATTAATAAATATTTAGTAATAAATATAAATGCACTGTCATTGTTCATGTAAAATCCTTGTTTACAAATGGCCCAGGACCGGTATTTGTCATCATTTCTTTGGGCATTGTCACACTTTTCTTGCCCAGCCTCGGGCAATTGTACACTTCAAGAGAAAAATGCCCGGGGGTGTCTTGGGGGGGGGGGGGCAATGCTAGAATTGCTCCCTGCATTAATGGTAATTCAATATTCTCTCAAAGGTCTGTGAAGTCTATGGTGGCCCAGGTGTGCCACGTACTTTTTTGTTTATGAAATCCAATTTTAACTTGATTTCAATTTTAATTTCAATTTAATTTCAATTCAATTCTAATTTCAATATAGTTTTAATTTAGTTTATTTTTATTATTTTTTTAGTTT